TCCACCTCTGAGATGCTCCATCGTCTTATCCCTTAGCCCATGGTGCCTATTGCCTATCCATTCCTCAGGTTTCATCTTACAAACAATGCCATAAAGCTCACATTTGATGCCCATCCCTATGTGTTGCCAGGCACTGAGCTATGTTCTCAAGTTATTTTTCTTTCCATTTCCTTTTTCTCTTTGCATCCATTCTAGTTATACTAGTTAAACAAGAGCAATTTAGTAGAAAGAGCACAGGCTTTGCCAGTAAACAGCCTAGAATCTGATTCTTGGCCCTGCCAGTCACCAGTTTTGTGATATCAGACACATTTCCTCATTGAATGACCAGTAGATTGATGCTGCTCATTTTACGAAGTTGTAGGAATCCTTTAGTGAGTGTCAGCCGTGGGGAGGCTGAAGAGGGATTCGAGGAGGTGAGCTGCCCAACTGGAAGAAGGCGTGAGGAGCCCACATGGAGCAAAACAGCACTTTATTGCAGTACAAGCGAGTGGCACGCACACTCAGGCATAAGCACTTGTCCTTTTATTATGCCCTTGCATGCGTATTGTTCATAATACTGACTCATGCTCCTAGCGCATGCGTACATGTACATGTACTTCTTACACACACGCAAGTTATTGCGAACTTTGACCTGGATCCTGTGACCTACTCACTTAAAACTACCGACAGCGAGTTAATCAGAAAACTTCCTTTCTGGGGGCAGGGCATAGTCACGTTTTTTGCTTCCTTATTGATAGGAAATCTGAATCACCAGCAAGTAGGCTGGCTGTACTGTTACTGGTAATGCCAAGAATAAAAAGCAGAACTGTGGATCTGATAATAAAATGTGAAGAAGAAAGCACCCCTTGCAAGATATTTCCTGTCAGTTTATCTAGGGAGCCCACACATAGGAATTCTCATGTGATTTATTTGAATAGGAAATTTTTTAACTCAAAATCAAAAGTAGAAAGTTCTCCCCAGCTGACTTTGCTTGCCTCTGCACCATAAAGAGTAGGTATTTACCATTTCTCCCAGGAAGGTACAATTATAACCACCTGTATAGACCACGTCAAACTATTTGGGAATCTTTAAGAACAGGAAAAAATAATCAATGTGAGAGAAGACTGGATAGTGCCTGCCTTGGGGAATTATCAACTGGGAAGATGTAGAGGAAACTTTCTGGGGTACTGGAAATGTTTTACGTCTTGATTGTTTGGTTACACAGGTTTACACGCACATAAAAATTCACCAAGCCTCGGTCAAGCTGTTGGCTGCAGCTGTGGTCTCATCTCAAGGCTTGACTGGGGAAGGATTCATTTCCAAGCTCACTCACATGCTTATTGGCAGGTATTTTGTCAGTATCAGCCTATTGACAGTGATGCTATTGGCTAGGAACACCTGAGACACTCACCTGGGCCTGGATGACACAGATTCAGCCTCCACTTCTGACTCTGGACACCACATCTTCATAGGTAGTGCCCAGGAATGAGTAGGAAGTGATGAAATGCAGGTACTCACCTTGGATGCTGCCTTTTAGACATCTGTCAACAAAGGGAAGGGGACAGAGTAGTACTGTGTGTGTGTGTGTGTGCGTGCGCACATATGTGTGTGTATGGTGGGAGGGTAGCATAATCAAGAGAAGTATTTTTAAGGAATGACCAGTTTTGAATAGGTTAAATGAGTTCCAAAGATCGAAAGTGTGGAATTAAATGTTATTCCCCCCATTTACTCATTTATTTATTTTTTCTGATTCTTATTTTTCTGAATAAAATAGTAAAGTTCCACAAGAGAAATGTAATAGTGAGGAAAATTTACTCGAGTTGCACTGTCCTGTCTGATAATAAGGAAACTCAGGGAGGTGTTACCATAGCCTAACATTTATTAAGCGCTTACTAGGTGCCAAGCCCTCTTCTCCATCTTTACAGTCATGGACTCACAAATGCCTTGCAAGTAAGGGCTCTTATAATTCCCGTCTTGCAGATGAAGATACTGGGGCTTGCCCAATGTCATGGCTAAAAATTGTCAGAGCTGGGGACTGAACTCAGGCCATCTTGTTGTGGAGTTTCCCCCACTTGAACGTCATGCTGTGCCACGTGGGGAAAGGGAAGAAGGCTTCCTGGGGAGAATGGGAATCAGTAAAAGGGCAAGAATCTTGTCCTTAGGAGGCCCAGGCCAAGAAAGGCATTTATGGCCATATCCTTGAATACGACTCAGAGTTAGGGGTGCCTCAGGTCAGGGAAAAAATTGTAGAGAGAAAAGGGAAGGACTGCTTCTTCCTTTTCTTTTTCTACTTAGCACTTTCATTTAACATCTCGATGAACCCTGACAGTATCCCTATATAATTACTTCATTGTATTTTCATTAATATAGTACCCATTATACAGTTGAGCAAACTGAGATTCAAAAGGTTAAGTGACTAAAGTCGTACAGTCAGCCAGCGGAGGAGCTAGGATTGAAATCTTGGGCTGTCTTACTTCAAAACCCGCTCTCCACTTGTATGCCCTGGAATAGGTAGAGGATTAATTCTGCGAGAGAAATTCCTGAAGGGAAGGCAGACATCTGCCATCTATTGTCTGGATAGGGACAAAGGCCCACCAGTCTGAAGACTTTCTCCCTTGACACGTATCCCATCGACTGGGAGAGACTGAAGTTTCCAAGATGTGTCCCTGTTGTCAGCTGCCTGCCTATATTCTGACTTAACTGTAGACATGAGGTTCGAAGAGGGTCGTGGCTGTTGGTGACTGATTCCCTGGGGATCCTGGGAGCTGGAGGGGAAAGCTCTGTCTACAGTTCTATGCAAAGTGCAGGAGGCTGGTGCAGGGGAGCCTCCAGTACTCTGCTGGAAACCTGTGGGCTGCAGGACCAGACTCACCTAGTGGAAAGGCAGGGAGGCAGTGGCCTTGGGGACAGAGGGTGAAACTGGAGCTCTATCCTCCTTTCTGTCACCTCTGTCTTTCTGCCCCAGCACACTCCATGCTGCTGCTGTTGCCACAGGGAGTTGCAGCCCTGAACCCTGGAGGTGAGTCTGCCCAGCCAGCCCCATTAGTGATGGAAGCTGGGGAGTGCCCACTGGGGTCTGGGTTCCTTCATCAACGGAGTGTAGTGGAGAGGAGGCTTATTCTGCAAATTAAAAGCCCCAGAAACACTTCCTTTGGGGTTAAGAGAAATGCTTTCTTTCTCCCCCAATTCCCAGAGTTTCCTGAGCTCTTTGTCTTTTGATAGCAGCCATCCCTCCGTTCCTCCATTTTCTGGTCCTGGGCTGGCAGCTAGCTTCCTCCATTCCTTGTGGCTTCTTTTTAAAATGTATTTTTATTGAAGTATAGTCAGTTTACAATGTTGCATTAATTTCTGGCGTACAGCATAATGCTTCAGCCACACATGAATATATATATATATACACACACACACATTTTCCTATCCTTTTTCAGTATAAGTTACTACAAGATACTGAATATAGTTCCCTGTGCTCTACAGTATAAACTTGTTGTTTATCTGTTTTATATACAGCAGTTAGTACCTGCAAATCTCAAACTCCCAATTTATCCCTTCCCACCCTGTTCCTCGGGGCTTCTGACCAAGGTCTCCATCCCCACGGTGTTCCGTGGTAGGAGGTGCACTTTTTACTCCACATGTTTTGGTGCCTCTGCCTGTCGCTGTTATCTTGGATTCATATCTCCATCTGGGGAGATCTTTATCAATCAAATGGTGGGTAGTAAAGCCCCAGAGGCTTGTGGGTGGTGGAGGGGCACATTAGGGATTGTGAGGAATCCGTAGGGTTAGGGAGCAGCACAGAAGCCGTTTGTCAAGGGGCCAAAGGAACATTAAAGGGAATAGGGCTGTGGCATTGTCATGGCCACGAGATGTAGAGTGAAGAGCTTAAGCTTTAGAACCAGAGGACACCAGTGAGCTCTCTCTCCATATACAGAAAAAAGGGTCACGTGTGGACACAGTGAGAAGGTGGCCACCCACAAGCTGGGAGAGCGCTCCCATCAGAGGCCAACCCTGCCAGCACCTTGATCTCGGACATCCAGCCTCCGGAACTGCGAGAAAACAAACTTCTGTTGTTTAAGCTACTCAGTCCACATCCTATTTTGTTGTGGCAGCCCTAGCAGACTAATATACATGGCCACCTAGAAAACAACCAAGCAAACAGATACAAATACAGAAAATCACCATAATTCCAGCACACAGGCTCCTGGAAAATTTGAGGGACATGTTTTTCCCATCTTTAAAAAGGGCGTTGTGTTATACACCAGAGACTGACACATCATAATCGACTGTACTTCAATTAAAAAAAAAGAAAAACAGAAGACCAAAACAAAACAAAATGTAGCAAGATTATTTTCTTTTTTGACAACAAATATGAATCAAAGACTATGATGAGTATTGGGGAAGAATGAAAACCTTAGTTTTAGACCTGCCAGGGTCGAGAGGTGATGGGGTAGCATGAGAGAGATCTTCGTGGTGATGGAATATTTATGTACCTTGGTTGCAGTAACAGTTACAGGCTTCTGCATGTGTGATAAAATGACATGGAACTATACACACACACTGCGCCAGTGCTAGTTTCTTGGTTTAGATTCTGGACTATCATTACATAAAAAAGTAACCTTTGTGGAAAAATGGGTGAAAGTTATGCAGGACCTCTTGGTATTGTTTTGCAACTTCCTCTAGATCTATATTTATTTCAAAATAAAAACTTAAAAAGAAAGAAGCCTGTTAATAGACAGTAAATACGAGAGTCTGTTCATGAACCAAGGTCCTCACAGGGGCAAACAGCCCAGTAGACGAATTCTTCATGTTTGATGTAGAAGGACTTTCTATAACAAAAAGACATAAAAACCCCTCTCTAGGAGGCTTTCAGTACAGATGCTAGTAATGCTAAGCAACAACTTAAAGTTAGAAGTTTCAGAGAAGTAATCCTCATGCAGATTAGGGAAGAAAGAACCCAGACCAACCTGTTTCCTGCCAGCTAATTTAAGGCATGAGTCATACTAAAAACTAGAACCCTTTCTCAACACACACAGATCAAGATCAGACGTCTTCAGTGGCTGGCCTTGCTGCTCTCTGCACCATGAGAAACCGGTATCTAGGTTTGCTGCCAGGTCGGTAGAATTGTAACAGTGGTGGTAGACAAGTAAAGCTATCGGGGACTATTTATCCAGTCGGGAATTTCCTCTGTTTTTTGCTTCACTTCTGGCTCTTGCTGTATTTCTGGTTTTCCCACTATCTCTGTAAGGGAGAGTAGGGGAGAAATTTTAAGAAGGGCATTAACTCTGTTGTATTAAGTTGTCAAAGAGAAAGTTGGTGAAACTTATTCCTAGGGAAACTGGGGGACTTAACAGATTTCTCATTTTTACCACCTGTGTTAGTCCAGGTTCTCTAGAGAAATAGAACCAATAGGATGTATAGATGGAGGGAGGGAAAGGGATTTATTTAAGGAGCTGGTTCATGAGATTATGGAGGTTAGAAAGTCTGAAATATGTAGGGCAGGCAGACAGGCTGG